GGCATACATGGGATTGCCCAAGATGCTCTTGGGTCAACAGGCAGCTTTTTGCCCTGGTCTATATTTTTGTTGTCAACCAGTGCTGTGGATTGAATGTCTCTCCACAGCTCACATTGAGTTGTGCAGTTGTGAGGATGGTGAGAGGTGATGGGGTCACCAGGGTTTGCCCTCCCGAATGGATTGAGACTGTAACGTCAGGCAGTTAGTTGTCACAGTATGTTGGGTTCCAGGAGCTCACTTGCCCTTCCATCCATTAGGATGTTGCCCGGAGGCCTTCGCCAGGCACGTGCCCCGGTGCTCCTGTGCTTCCTGGTCCGCGGTATTCCGTTACTGCAGTAGAAAAACAGACTGAGACAGCCAGGAAATTCAGAATTTGAAAATCATGCTGAACAGCTTCTGTCTAGGCCAGACCAGAAAACTGTGGGAAAGATAGCAAAGATGACAGACAAACAAGATGTAGATTTTTTTCCTGGAGTTTATTAGCACTATGGTGTCAGTTTTGGCAATCTGTATCTCTGAAATTTGACTTGGGCTTCTAAGTTAGAACAGAGGAGAAAGGGTTGTTCCTAATGCACTGCCCACCCCCCCCCAGGGAAGGAACCCACTTTTCTGTTTTTGTGCCATAGCCTGCACAAAAGCCACCTCACAGCTCTCTCTGCATCCCGCAGCCTGACCAGAGGGATGCTGGCTGACAGGGAGTCAGGGATCTCAAGGCTGACAGGTCCTCTCAGACTTTTTAGGGGTGAAAGTAGTTGACCTGTTAGTCAATAGGTTTTGCTCATTTCTTTTCAGCTCAGTAGCAAAGCCTATCCACATCTTAACAACATGATACATCATATGCGTTTATAGGCTAGGCACTGGAAAGAACTTCCAGGTAAATGATATTAATCATATTTTTAAAATCTTTGCCTTAGAGGCCAAACTATTTGTTCAGTCAATCTGCTCAGAATCTGTTTTCATTCACATAGGCTTTATTTAGTCTAGAGTAAATGCAGAAAATATATACAGCAGTGTTTACATTAATGATACATTAAGAAATTGCTTTACTATGTGGGTAAGTGCCAGGGAATTCAAACTAGCTTCAGATACAGAAAGCACAAAAGGGAGGGAAAGAGGAAGGCGGAAAGGAAGAAAAGGGAAAGGAGAGGAGCTGGGGTCGGAGCTGAAGCCCACCCTGCATAGGCCCATTCCTCCCGTTCTGCCTCAGGCGTTGCAGGCTCTACAGAGTCTTGAGCCTCTTCCCTCCAGGATTGTCAGTCAACATATGTACTTAAAATGGGACCTAAGGAGATCTTTTCGATCTTCTGATGTCCCTGGAATTTTGTGGTGATTTGTTGTGTAATTGGCATTCGACTAGTCATAGTCAAGAAAGATGGAAGGAGACAAGGAGCTGGAATGCTCCAGTGCAGAAAGTAGCTCCAGGCAGCCCCACCTGGTTGGGTTACATGTAGGTGTGGCTGGGAGTTACTTATATACCACGCTTCAGTTTCCTCATCGGTTAAATGAAAAAAACAAAAACAAAAAACAAAAAAACCCTGTCCTTTGGGTGTTGAGAGGATTAAGTAATATAAGCTCCTAACATGTTGCCTGGCACGTGGCAAATGCTCAAGAAGCTGGTAGGAAGTAGAAGAATACTTTTAAAACTTCAACTATCAAAACCAAAACAAACAAAAACTCTCCTCTTAATTGGCACAGGATCATAGAACTCTTATCTATGCAAGAGATTTTATGCTATCTATTCTAGGGGTTTACAATTTCTTCTTTCTTTAAAGCTTAGGTTCATTGGCTGTAACATTATGAGGAACCTGATGGGTCAATGAAATAAATGCAGTACTGGGACTGATTGCAAGAGAAGTAATACATTAGTTAGCTTCCTATTACTATAATGAAATACTTGAGGCAATAGACTTATGAAAAGAGTTTTGTGGTGTGGGGTTTTTTTGTTGTTGTTTTGTTTTGTTTTATTTGACTCATTACTCTGGAAATCCTAGCCCAAGATCAGGTGGCACTTTTGCTTTGGGCTTCTGGCTGTGGTGGTAGCTCATAGCAGGAGGATGTAGAGGAAAAAATCTAATCATTTCATGAGCCAGGAAACAGAGAAAGACTGAAAGCCAGGTCCCACAAATCCTTCCAAGGACACATCCCCAAAGACTTCCCACCTGGTCTCACCTCTGAACACCACCATTCTGGGGACCAAGCTTTTAGTCTGTGGGCCTTTGGGAGACCTCCAAGCAACAACAAGTGGACAAGGGTCCTCTCCTGTCTCCTCCTTCCTTCACTTTGATTGGAGACTGTGAGGCATCTGTTACCTTCTAGAATACAGATTGAGAACCCAAAATCTGGGAAGGGAATGGCTCAGAAGGGGGAAGCTGTGCTTTTAGTGTTACTTCCATTGCTTAGCCTGCTCTGTTATGTACTTTGCCCTTGGCAGAGTGAGAAAGAAATGGCAGGCTTGGAGCACTTGAGGATACATGAAAAACTCTTCCAGAGGAAACCAAAATCCTAGGGTAGTGATGGCAAACCCTTTAGAGCTTCAACATATACAAACAGCCCACTGCCACCTGCATGCCATGGAGTCGCCTGAGCTTCAGTTCACCACATATGGACCCTTTTCCTTCCCCAGTAGTGGATGATAAACTTTTGGGTGGCCTGTTTCCATTTTCTTGTTTATAGCATAATTTAAAGCATTTTCTGTGAGCTCCCAGTACCTTCTATCAGACTAAAGGACAAATAGAAACTCTGTAGTTTTCCATGAAATCTCACTGGAAACCACTTCACCGCTGCTCTTTGCCCTTTACCTTGCCTTCTGTAGTCTCCTCTCTCTGATGCTGAGTAAGATGCTGTGATTTCTAAGTGTTTTCACATTCACCCATTAACCTCAGCTCCTCCTCCAGAATGTTCTTCCAGGCACACTTGCACAGCACAGAAATGTAAACAGTAGAGCTGACTCAATGAAAGTTTGAAGTCAATGTATTTTTTTTTTTTTTTTTTTTTTTTTTTAGATAAGGCTGTGTTTGTACAAACAGCCTCAGACTTTACTTGGAAAAGAAAAAAAAAAAAAGAGAGAGAGATGTAACACAGTTTATGACTGCCATGCTCTTCCCACATGTGGCTAGTTTCCTGTTGTGTTATTCATGTTCTTATGGAAAGCTTAAGATCTTATTTGCTTTTGGAAAAGAAGAAAGTTGAGTTGGGAAGGAGGAGGAGGTGAATTTTTACTCCTCATGAGGACCAACCCAGTGCTGCTTACCTGGACTTCTGCTTAGTTGTAATATACACCTCCTCCCTGGCCTGGGGGGTCCCCTGAGAGAGCAGAAGCACATTACTCATGGCTCTCTTGGAAGACCCCACCTTACCCCTTTACCCATCTACAGCTGCTGCTTGAAAGATATTCATTGGCTGACTATCCAAGAGACTTCCTAGATGTAAATCAAATACCTTTAAAAGAACTATTATTTTAATTTGTTATCTATAGCAGAAATATAGTGGCATGTTCTACTGCTTCAGAATTTATAATTGGCCAGCAATATAGCTCAGTGGACTAAAGTGCCTGATTAGGCAAGTTTAGGCAAGCTCAGGGTCCATGCTTTGAGCCCTGCCACCACATGTCATGCCAGTGCTGCCCATAGGGCAGGCTGAGCCAGCCAGAGTCTGGGCATAGTGGCATGTGCCTGCAATCCCAGTGCTGGGGAGGTTGAAAACAGGAGGATCACCATGAGTCTAGCTGCAGAGTGAGACCCTACAGCAACCAAATACATTTTAAAAAATTTATAATCAATAAGACAGGCAGCATTATTAGAACAAAGTTAAAAGACCCCTTCTAGAAATTAGGTCTTTGAGCTTCCCAGCCAATAGAGCTAGACTGGAAAGAAAGTTCTATAACAAATACATGTGAGAGAGTAACTACCATTCATTGCATAGTTAATAAGTGCAGGGTACCAGCCAGGTGTAATGGTGCACAACTCTAGTCGCAGCTACTGGGAGAATGATCAAAAGTTTAAGGGTGTCTGGGGCAAGTTCACAAGATTCTCTGTCATAAAAGAATCAGGGTAAGGGGCCGGGGAGATGGCTCAGTAGGATAAGCGCTTGACTGGCAAACGCAAGGATCTGAGTTCAATCCCTGGTTCCACAAAAAAAAAAAAAAAAAAAAAAAAAGAATCAGGGTAGTCATTCAGTGACAGAAGCCTTGCCTAATGTGTGACAAGATCCAGGGTTCAATACCAGTTACTATCATAAACAAACAAATAGTGAAATATAAATGGCAGGCACAAATCTAAGAACTAGCTGTAACATGTCATTGCATCTTTATATCAGTCCTAGCCTTTTATTATCTCCACTTTACAGATGTGGAATCAGGAGCTGGAATCATCGGTCCACAATGATGCTGGGATTTGAACCCAGGCCCAGAGCCCACTTAGCCAATGATGAACAAGCAACTGAATGAGTGAAATACATGCATATGAAAACAGTGCCCCCTCCTACCATAGTACAAATACAGAAAGCCAATGACCTTTGCCTCTCCTCATATGATTTAGTTGAGGGCTCTGATGTCCTACAGTCTCTGATTCCTGAGTTTTGAAGAAGAAAAGGTAAAAGAGCAATTAGAACATTAATTTTTTTCCTTTTTGTGATCTGATGGAATATGACACACACAGGTCACAAACCCAATTAATTTGATTAACAAATTAATTTCTTTGAGCATATTTCTTTTGAGTTGCTCATGGCATTTCACAGATATTACTCAAATGAGTTTCATCACATCAACATGAGGATGTTCAAGGTAAACATTGTTCCTACTCAAATGAGCAGCAAAGCTGGGCACTTGGTTGGAGCCAAAGTCACTCAAGGTCCCGCCCGTCACTCCAGAGTAAATGCTAACCCTTGGCCTGTGAGCTGTAGCTCAGTCCTCTGTCCCTTGGCAGCGCTGTTTCTGACTGATGCAATTCTTCAGTGCACTGTGAGACAAAGATAAATCAGCTCATTCTCTGTTACATTTGCAGGTAGCCCCTGGAGGATCTTGACTACTTCCTAAGGAAATAGCATTTTCCTGGGTCTCCTGGAAAACTGTTCCCAGGAAACCATGAACCAGCCGGACCCTGCTGATGACCCAGATCCCAAGGCTGGCCCCCTGTGCATGGTGTGTGGCCAAACCCACGCCCCCGAAGAGAACCACTGCTACACCTATGTGGAAGATGTGGATGATGACCTCATATGCCACATCTGCCTGCAGGCCTTCCTGGAACCCCTGGACACGCCATGTGGACACACCTACTGCAGCCTCTGCCTCACTAACTTCCTGCTGGAGAAGGACTTTTGCCCCGTGGACCGCAAGCCCCTCCTACTACAGCACTGCAAGAAGTCCAGCATCCTGGTCCACAAGCTCCTCCACAAGCTGCTGGTCAAGTGCCCTTTCACGGAGCACTGTTCCAAGGTGTTGCAGCGCTGCGACCTCCAGAATCACTTCCAAACAAGGTAGGTTCCCCTGCTGCAGCTCCAATGAGCCACCCTCATAGACACGAAGGAGACTCGCCTGTCCTGAGGGCGGGGCTGGTGGCTTCTAGTGTCAGAAGCTCCCCAGGATGCTTATCTGTTTCCTCTTATCTGTTTCTTTACAACTAATGAAAGGATCCATTGAGAATCTAACATATTCCAAGTGTTCATGCCTGTGAATAGGAGGAATAAACAGAGTTGTGTTGTGTGTTGTGTTATGTGTTGCATGTGTTTATGGCATGTTAATAGAAAATAATTATAGCAGAAACTTTACCATTTGAACCATTATTAAATGTATAGTTCAGTGGCATTAAGTACTGTGTGTCACCATCACCATTGTCCATCTTTAGAAGTTTCTCTTCTTTGCAAACTCAAACTCACCATTGAATAAGGATCCCCAGCCCTGGCCCTCAGAGGCCACCATTGTACTTTCTATCTATGAATGTAACTGCTCTTAAATACTGCATATAAACTAGAATTATGTCATGTTTGTCCTTTTGCAATTAACTTCTTTCCTACATTTATGTTTTGAAATGTGCTAGATACAAGAAGGAGCTGATGACATTTCCCCTGAGGCTCATGGTTCCCAAAAAGGTCTCCTTGGGAGCATTTTTAACAGTTGATATGTTGTGTCAACTTGAGAAGTTTAGAAATTTTACTCAGCAGAGGGCCAGGGTCCCTACTTTCAAGTAAACATCCTGAGCTTGTGGAAGGGGCAGGAACAGAGATGGCATGGGCGGAGAGCCGGATAGCTGGCATACAATATAAGGAAGGAAGAGGCTCGCCCCCTTCCCCACTCTTGTTGCTTCTGCTGTCTTCCTCCACCATGAACATTTGCCCCTCTGCCATACTACCCAGCCTTGGAGCCACATGATTATGGACTGAAACCTGCACAAACTGAGCTAAATAAACCTCTCCTTTCTTCATTCTGGACATTAGGTATTTTTGTCTCAGTAACAAGAGAAAAGTAACCAAGACAGCATTGCTTGTTTTTTTCAGTTTGTCCCATGATTCTTAGCATTGTCTCTGTACTGGAACTGACAAGGCCCAACTCTTCTCTGAAAAGATATGAGATGTTTTCAGCTAAACCTTAAAAAGAGAAATTTTGGAAAATTCATGTCTTCCAAGGGACTTGTTTGCTAGCTTTCAGGCCCAGTCACATGTTAGCAGTAGAGCAATGATGTGCTTGCTGCTTTGTGGCTAGCACCACCAATCCCACCTGTCTACTTCTTGCTTTGTCCCTTTAAGCTGTCATGTCATAGGGCATTCCTCATGTGAATAGTCTCATGAGCAACAGTGGGTTGTGTCCCACATGAGGAACTCTGCTAAAACATTTAAGGTACCAAATCAAGGGTGAACAATAATACCATAATTATTTTGTACCAGGAAATTTGGAGCCTGGTATTTATCTTGATTCCTGTCATGACCAGGGCAAGAGGCAGGTGCAGGTATTTTTTCTTAAAGGTCACATATTTTAGGTCATGAATCTGAGTCTTTGTCCTCTGGGACATGCTTGGAGTCTCTAAGTTTGTACTGAAATCAAGGGCCTGGGCATAATGCTTAGCACATGTTTCCCATGCTTATTGTGCCGGGAGCTCTTTTCTCCCAAAGATGTTGAGTCAAATACCTCTAACATGGGTTTGCAGCTGACTATCTATGAATTTTGGGCTAAAGTTAGAATTCCTCTCCTTGTATCCTGGGAAGAATGAGGAGAGGCAAAGGAGAATGGGAAGTCTATCCATGACCTGTGGTGAAGCTTTTACCCAGGAGTGAGGGGTATTGCTAGAAGGAAGTACATCTGGAGTTTAAGGTGAGATTGACCCTAGAAGGGTCAAGAGCAGGGCCAGGCAGGGTCGGGGCAGTGAGGGGCATGAGGGGAGAGGACCCTGGCAGAGCTCACTTTGCACACATCGCACCCCTCTGTTCTGACATGCTGCAGTCCAGATTTTTGTGTTGGGAAGCTGTATCAGTTCTCTGTTGCTTCTATAACAAATACAAACTGAGAAACTAAAAACAACTCAAATTTGTTACCATACAGTTTGGAGGGCCCCACAGGACCCTCATCAAGAGGTCAGGAGAGCTGTGGAGGAGAATCCCTGTCCTTATCCTTTGCAGCTACTATATGTTGACTATCTTCTGTGGCTTCCTTCATCTTCAGAGCCAGTCAGGTGGTATCTTCTCATTGTCCCCTCTGACCTCTGCTTGTGTGGATACATCTCCAGTGACCCAGACCCTCCTGCCTCCCTCTCATAAGGACTCATGTAGAGCCTACCTGATAATCAGGTATTGTGTCCTCATCTAAAGTTCCTTTGTTTAATCATATCTGCAAGGTCCCTTTTGCCATGCAAGGGACTATCTTCATCCCATTAGGGGATGGACATCTTAGGGGTCACTGTTCTGCCAACCACAGGGATAAGAAAGGAGAAAAGTGGTGTCTTAATTGCTTCTTTCCCATTGCTGAGACCAAATACCCAACACCCACAATGTAAGAAAAAGGCACTTTATTTAGTTGACAGTCTGTAGAAGTTTTAGTCTACAGTCAGCTAGCTCCAAGGCAGGGTGACATGGAAGAGGGGCATCACAGAAGAGAAACAGTTCATGGTGTGCAGAAGAAGAAACCACAGCTCTTTCTATCCTTTATATCTTACTTAGGCTACTTAGGACACGTAGCACTCACACCCTTAATCTTTGTGCCCTTAACTTTAGTGTTGTATCGTAGCAATTACAGTGTCACACACTCTAGATTCAGCCACCTCTGAAAAAGTCCCATGTCTGAACATAAGTGGCTTTGTGAGGACATCTACACACAAGCCATAACATTTTGCCCGTGGACCCCCAAAGGCTTATGGGGTCATTTAGTAAAAGGTGTTTACTAAGAGGCATTTAGTCTACCTCTGAGAGTCACCACAGTATTGACAGTTTTAGCATTGTTGAAAACTCTAAGTCTAAGATCTCTGCGATCTAACATAAAATCTTAGCTTTAAGTTTCTATGTCAATGAAAATAAAGTTGAACACTTTTAACATTTAGTGGCACAAGACAGACAATTTTATTTTAAAAGCTATAAATGGAGATAGCAAGGAATAAAAACAAAGTAAGACCAAAATCTGGCAGACAATAAATCCCACAGTTCTACCTTTAGCATCCCTGGTAATCTTTGACAAGTTGTGAACTCTAAAAGGCTTAGGTGGCTGTGTCCCTGTGGCACTTCTGGTGGTTTTCGCTTTCATGACTTTCTTTGGATGGCTTTGTTCACTCCTTGCAACTTTCCTTGGGCAATCTATGTTCTTGACTTCTAACGTTTTTGGGGTCTCTACCACACTTTTGGCTTCACACATCCAGCTTTACACACTGATCTCTCTAGAGCCTCCCAGGCCTGGCCTCCTGGGCCTTCTTCTGAAATCTGGATGGAAACCTTCTTGACCCCACAGCTCTTCCATTCTGCGTGCACCTAAAACCAGCACCACCCAGATGACACCAAGGTCTGCTGCCATGCCTATGAACTAAATTTTGAGGAGCAAGTTCCCTAGGCTACCACCATTCTAGAACATGGTGCTCAGGGGCTGTCTTATCAAGGAAAAGGTTATACTTTTGCAATTTTGGGGCTGCAAAGGATGGAGGCTTCTGCTTCTGGTCATGCCCTCACGCCATCTTTTCTGTTGTCTCTTTTTAGAATATTCAGCTTTTTCCTTGCTAGTCTTTTCAGAAACAACTTTCCCTCTGTTCCATCTTTGAAGACCACAGCTTTACTGGAGCTTCCTTTCTGGCCAAACTCACAACCATTTGAATCATTCTGTTGGACTCTTTGCTCTTAATTCTCAACATAAATCTAGCTAAAAGCCCCCAACAGAAGCCATATCATCACCTCAACATTAGACTTCCTTGAATTTTTTTTTGCCAGAACAATTACTCTATCATTAACCTTAGTCTCAGGCAAAGTCTCTGGATACAAGCAAAATGTAGGCAAATTTCTACCAAGGTATGACACATATTGTCTGGAATCCAACAGCCATTGCAGTCCTTCCCTGCAGAACCCTCCTGAGCCTGGTCTGTACAGGCAGGATTTTAGTCAGTCTTCTGATCTGCACTCTTCCCAGAATCTCCCATGAAAGCCAGCCTAAGGTGTCCCAGCTCTCCTTTTTCAGCTGAACCTTTCAAAACTCTTCCCATAAACCAGTCCCAAACACTTCTGAGTCAAATGGTCAGAATAGTGACAGCAATGACCCTACTTCTCTGGAACCAAATTCTGTCTTAGGTTTTGTTTTGTTTTGTTTTGTTTTCCACATTGCTGAGACAAAATATTCAATACCCACAAATTAAGAGAAAAAAGGTTTATCTTACAGTTTATAAAGGTTATATTCTATAATCAGCTGTGTCCAAGGCAGAGTGCCATGACAGACAGGCATCACAGATGAAAAACAGTTCATGGCTGGCAAATAATAGCAAAACAATAGGTAGCAACCACAGTTCTTTCTATCCCTTATCTAGACTACTTAAGACAGTACTAATACCTTAACCTTAATACCCCATCAGTTCCAGCATCACACACTCTAGACCCACCCACCCCTACCTATAATGGCATTAGACTATAAAACAACATCTAAACATGAGCCGTAACAGAAGAAAAGAAATGGTGGTACTCTGTAGGGAGAACATGAGAACAGGAGTGCTCTTCAGCACTCACTGCAAAGTGGTTTGGGGCCTAGAATGTGCCTAAAAATAGAGACACGGTAGCACCTAGAGTTGAGGGCAAAGTGATAGCAGAGGTGAGAGAGAGGAAGGCTTAGGAGACTGTTGTGGGAACTGTGGGGTCCTGTAAGAAAGAACACCCATGCATGCTAGCTGCCCCAATCCAGGTGGGAATTTCTCTGATCTCCCACTCAGCCATGTGACCCATACATCTTGAGGAGGCCTGGGAGAAGGGCTTGAGGATCACTTGGCTGATAATTTTATGCACAGGAAAAAGCTACAATGGGGGAAGAA